TTGTGTGTTTTGGCAGGACTGTACCAACCGCTGCTGTAACTTGAATAACAAAACTGAAGTGTGCCTATTTGTGTGTGTGTCTATTTGTGTGTGTGTGTATTTATGTGTTTGTCTGTTTGTGTGTTTTGGCAGGACTGTACCAACCGCTGCTGTAACGCCAGCTCGTGCAAGCTGTACCCGCGGGCCCAGTGTGCCACCGGACGATGCTGTGACCTGAACCAGTGCAAGGTAGGGGATGTCGCGACAGATGGCCGCTCTCGTCCTGTTTTCTCTCGTCTTGTTTTCTTTCGTCTTGTCTCGTCTTGTCTTGTCTCGTCTCGTCTCGTCTCGTCTGCTCCTTCTTTCTTGTCAAACGTCTATGGTCTTTATCTGTCCTCCTCCTTTTAAAAAAAAATCAATTAAAAAAAAAATTAAGATTTTATTTGTAACTCTTTTTTAAAAATTAAAATTTGTTGTCATATTTTAACTTAATATTTTATTTTACTTTATTTATTTTTTTATTTATTTTATTTTATTTTTTTAAAATTTATTTTATTTTATTTTACATATTTATGTTTGTGTAAGGTGTAGATTCTAGTGACACACCTTTGGCACTGACTTCTGTCAGAGAAGTTTGTGGTGCAATGACTGTAGTACTGACTAAATCATAACTAAACATTGATTGTTCTTGACGTTAATTGTCCCTATCTCTCTTCCTACTTTGTCCATTCTTTTTGTACCGTATGTTACTGTCTGGTAGCAACTCTTATCTTGGCATTTATGGGACCCTTTTTTGGTTCAAATGCTGTAAGTGCATGCGTGCGTGTGTGTGTGTGTGTGTTCAGAGAGAGAGAGAGTCAGAGATGGAGAGAGAGGAGAGATATTGTTTTGGACATCTGTCATCTGACTAATATGTGTGTGTTTATCCCCCACCACCCTTCCATTCCCCCCCCCCCTACCCTAAACCCCGAGGCTGGTGCGAGTAATCTTCCCATGCGGGGAGGGGGGGGGTGAGTCACCTGCACCAGTGATAGGTCAATTCTCGCATTAAACTGAAAGCCTGAAGCAGAGCAACAGACGCGTTGGCAGTGACTTGTTTTTAATTGTGTTTTTTTAAATTTTTGGTCCCTTTGAAGGTTGTTTTTTTCCTAGGAGAGATGAAAAAAATGGCAAAGGGAGGGGG